GGGGCTAGGCACTCTCCCTGAGCTCTGCAGCTCAAAGCTAGCGCTCTACCAGTTGAGCCACAGCACCACTTCTGGTTTTCTCATGGGTAATTGGAGATAAGAGTCTGATGGACTTTCTTGCCCAGATAAGCCATCCATTTTTGACTTTTCTAAACATGCCAAGTGAAAGTTATTTCAACAAGATGTAACAATCATCTTCAAGTTCCAGTGGGGCAAAGCACTACTAAGAAGGTGTGGTGTATGTAAAGATGAATTGATTCAGGGTCCTTAGATTCCATCCCCTGCCTTTGAGATTATGCTATAAATAATCGGACATAGGAGACTCATGTGGATATAAATAGGTAGGCTTTAAGCAGGATGTTAGGGCCCAGAGTGGAGTGTGAAGAACTCAGAAGTGGATAGAGCAAATATTTTGTTATGAGAGAGAAGATCGGAAGAAAGCTTCAGAGAGGGATGGCCATAAATTGAGTGTTTAAGAGTTAATGGGATTTTAACAGATGTGAAGGCAGTAATGATGACTGTGTATAAGAGAGAGAAAAAAACGAGAGCAAAAGAAGGAGGGAGTCAGCCAAGTTCTGGAGTGTATTTGTTTTGTTTTGTTTTTAATGCAGATGCTAGGGCTTGAACTTGGAGCTTTGAGCTCTCATTCAACATCTTCTTCCATGACTGGATCTCTACCACTTTAGCCATACTTCCAGTTCCAGATTTTTACTGGTTAATTGAAGATAAGGGTCTTTGAGGACTTGTCTGTTCAGGTTGGTCTGAACCTCACAGCCTTCTCATTAGTTCGAATTATAGGTGTGACACAACAGCTCTAGAAGCAGAGTAGCCAGAAGTGATACAGGGCAGTAAATCTGGAAACATTATCTGCTACTAGCCATGATTATATATTTTGAAAAACTTTTGACAAGATTAAGTATTGACCTATATTAAATTTTAGAATAGGAAATTAGTTAATAGCATGAGCTGTAAGCTGAACAACTTTAGTTGTAATTCTGGCTTTAGTACTTAAAAGCAATAGAACATCACATGGATTTCTTAATCCACCTGAATTCCAGTTTTCTCCTCTGCAGTATGGAGATAATTATAGCACCAATTATGAGGATTAAATGAGATCACGTAAATTAAAACATCTAAAAGCAACATGACACCTAATGAAATTTATAAATATTAGCTGGAATTATGTTATAATTTTATGGATTTGCTGAAAAAAAGTTAACTCTTTATTCAGGTAGTGTATATTTTTAAAAATTCTGTTGGTGACTCATTTACTCCAAAAAGATGAATCACGAAGAATATCAAAAGAACAAACTGTTCAGAATATTATGTGTACCTGTTAGGTATTAGGGATGTTAACTCTTGTTAATTTAGTTCACTAATATTTATTGAATATTTACCATATGTTAGTTCCCAGCTTGTACTGGAACAGAAAACAAGACACAAAAGATCTCTTTAAGAGGTTTATCTTTTAGATGGAGAGGAAAAGACAAACATGCCTATATAAAATTTTTATTATAGACTAGACCACAATTTTTATCTGGTACAAAAATGTGTCACCATTTTTTAGGCCACATTAGGCTCTGAAATGACTCAACACATTTTAACAATTTTTGTGGAAATGTGGCTCTTTTAAACAGCAAGGTAAAATAGCAAATGAATCAGCACTCTTACAGAGCAGAAATAATTTAAAATTTCAATGAAGACAGATTGTAATGTGAATTACAAGTACTGGAGAAGACTGGAGGGAAGAAGTAAGTACATGTAGAATCTTCACCTTCCTGAAGGAAGCAGAACGAAAGCAACAACCTAGAGACCACTTTTGAGAAGGCATTGGAGAAACTGATGTGGTTGAAGTCCATGCAGAACCTCTAGGGAAAAAACAAGGGAGCTAGAGTCAATTTGCATGTAGAAAGGATTGGCAGGCTGGAATATAGAGTTACTCCTTTGAAGATGGTGTGAAAATGGTCTTGAAGGAAGGTGATGTGATCAGTGCTCAAGCAAGTTGCCATGATAGACAGTAACATGACACCAGAGAGACTTTAGTCAATTCAGTGACTTACATGTGAGGTTGCCCAAAACAGATGGGTGCCAGAGGGGAGACTAAAAAGAAGGTTATTTAAAGATGGAAAATCCTCCTCTCTCTGCTCTTGTCTAGCTGTTCTCAAGCTCTTTTCTCTCTCTTTCCCAGCTCTCTCTTTGCTAGGCCTTTCCAGCTGTGTGGAGTCTCTCTCTGCTCTCTCTCTCTGCTCTTTTCTAGCTCTCTCTGCTCTCTGCTCTCTCCTTTCTCTCTGCTCTCTCTCTGTTCTTTTCTAGCTCTTTTCTCGCTCTTTCCTCTCTTTCCCAGCTCTTGCTCTTTCCCAGGCCTTTCCCAGCCACGTGGAGTGCCAACCTTGCCTGGTCCCAGCAGGTCTACTGAATAAACCAACCTCTTACCTGAATTAAAAAAAAAAAAGATGGAAAATCCATGAATAAATAAATAGGACTTTGAGATTGATGTTTACTAATAGAATAGATGGCTAAAATAAGATTTTGAGAAAAAAGATGGTATCTGTGTAGAACTGGAGAGGTCAGGAAAGCTTTCAGGCAGGAAAGAAAGTAGTTTGAGTAGCTAAGATATGGACATCAAAGGAGAGACAGAGATGGAGAGGAGTTTGGGAAAAGTTAAAATAATGATTCACAATTCTGCCATTTTAACACAACTGACCCTCCTTCATATCCTAGTTTTTATACTCATTTTGCATTTAAAAAATGTTTTGTACACATTGATTTTCATATAATTATAAGGCTGAGTACTTTACCTTTAATTTGCTCTTTCCCCAGAGCTTCCTGAAAGCAGGGACCATATTGATGTTGTTTATTATGCCTTTGTGTCCAGAAAATAGGAAAATACTAACATATGTCCACTGAAAGCAGTTCTGACCCCCTACATTATTTTCATACTTTTCTTTATAAAAATTGCTACCACAGATACGTATATGATATTTTTGGTGGTTTTGCTTCTGTTACATTGTTTCCTTATGATGAATTCTCAAAATTAAAATTTTCAAGGTTGGAATTGCTGTGGTTAGACATGGAATCTATTAGCAGAACATCCAGATGCCAATGTAAGGTGCTATTAGAAGACATGCTTTGAAGTTTGGTGAAAATTAGTCCCCAAGGTTAAATTAAGGACTTGATTAGAAGATATTGGGCTTTGATAAGTCTAGGTTTGTGTATGTTTCTTATAAGCCATTTCCTTGTCCATTTAGTAACTGGCAGGAAAATTCATACAGTGAACTGTTTTTGTGCTTGCCATTATTTGGAGGAATGAAAGCACCTAAATACTTCCTGTTTTGTGACTGCACCATCTTTAGTCTGCAGTCTCTCTCTCTCTCATATTTCCTGAAGGATGAAAGTAAATATTGTACCTTTGTCCCATGTATCTTTGTTTCATAGAAGACAAAAAGCAAAGGGTAAGGACAGAAGGTTACAAGTGCTTCTTTAATGGCATCTGCTGCCCTGGTATTTCTTATTTTAGTTCCTCTGCTAGAAGTGTATCAGATGGCCATCACTCAACACTAAGGAGAAGGGTAGCATTTTTGGCTGGACGTATTGTTTTTCCTGATAGAACTGTCATTCCTTTAAGGTAGGAAGGAGGAAGGATGGATGGATGTTGGACAGGCACATGGTGTCTGCCACAATCTTCAGGTGACAGACCAACAAAGCTCCTAATAGCCAGCTCTTGGGTTGGTGTGAGGAAGACATTGATATTTATGTTGCACATATGAAGAACAAAAGATGCAAATTTGAGAGGAGTCTACAAATAGCTCTGACTTTGATGAATTTGTTTCTCTCCTTTGGATTTCAGTTGAAAAGCAAAAAGGACATATGATATTTTGTTCTTTAAAAGTCAGCAAATGTAGCATTGAATTCTAGAATATTGCAAAAGTGTACATTCACAGTAAGGGTTAATGATAAATGACTTTATTGTTGGCAGACTTTAGTTATTGAAATTAAGGGCTAAGAAACACTCAGGGCAGATCACTTTGGTTAAGGAAATACCTAATAACCATTGTCTGGCCCTTAGGAACTGTCTTTATAAAACCCAGCTGCGTATGCTTAACAGAGCCACAGTTCCAGGATATATTAAATATTTAAAATGTAAAATTTTGTTTATTTTTCCTGACTCAGGTCTTTTAGTCATCTACGCATATACTTGGTGATTTAATTTAATAGTTCTCAGCTCTCACTGCAAATTAGAATTGAGAGAGTTTTAGAAAAAAAAATTGATGCTGGAGTCTCAATGCAGACATTCTAACTTTTTTTTTTTTTGGTCCGGTCGTGGGGCTGAACTCTGGGCCTGGGCACTGTCCCTCAGCTTTTCAGCTCAAGGCTAGCACTCTACCACTTGAGCCACAGCGCCACTTCTGGCTTTTTTCTTTTTGCTTATGTGGTGCTGAGGAATCGAACCCAGGGCCTCATGTATGCAAGGCAAGCACTCTACCACTGAGCCACCTTCCCAGCCCCAGACATTCTAACTTTTGGGTTGGCCTGGTCTTATAAGTGAGAAGTAATGAAGGAGTACATTGAAGCAGGGGTAGTAGGGCTAGAGGAGAGGGGATAACTTTGAGAACTATTTAGGAAGCATTTTCTGGTTGAACTGTCTGCACACATGGAAATGTTCTTATTCCTACTGTCTAGTGTGGTCCAGAAATCACGTGACTATTGAGCACTGTGACTATTGGCTAGTGTGACTAAATAACTACAAGGTTTTTTTTTTGTTTTTTTGATTTTTGTTTTTGAGATAGGATCTCATTATTGTCTCTGTACTTAAGGCAGACCTAAATGTTGGGATTACAGGTTCGCACTACTGCACCTGGCAGTGTGCATAATTTTGATGAGATGAGGCAGGATTCACAGCTCCTATGTTATATTTGCTTAGTATAAATGCAGTGTAGTGATGTCTCTGAAAATAGTTTTTTCTTACTATTTAATCTCTCTCTTTCTCTTTCTAACACCAGGTATCAGATTGTAGTAGAAATAATTCAAGCGACTACAATTAGCAGCTTTCCCCAACTGAAGAGACACAAGGGTAAGAACCAGTTTATTCTGTTATATATTTGAAAGGTTCTGGGTCTATCCATAGTCTCTGTCTCCTATCAGATCTTTAGCAAATAATGAACATTCTTCTGACTTACATTTCAATATCACAGTAGTTAAATAAGCTAGACTTGAGTGCCTCACATCTGTAATCCTAGCTACTCAGGAGGCTAAGATCTGAGGATTGCATTTTGAAGCCAGCCAGGGAGGAAAGTTCATGAGATTCTTATCTCCATTTAACCAAAACTGCAGCTTGAGTGATAGATTGCTAGCCTTGAGCAAAAAAGTTCAGGAATGGCATCCAGGCTCTTGGGAGCAAGCCTCAGGAGCACTGCAGGCGTGTATGCGTGTGCGTACACACGTGCGTGTGCATGCACGCACACACATACACACCCTAATATTAAAAAAGTAAATGATATTTTATTCTCAAGAATCTTGGTTTGCATTTTTAAAATTCTCTTACAACTTTTTTTATGTGTAAGTCATTGATTTTATAAGGTTGGAGTGCTTGGCTGTGTAATATTTCTCTTTTGATTTTAAATGAAACATGACTACATACTTTTTCTTACACTGAAATTGAAACTTGATATTTGTTATTTGTTCATCTTTTAGTCTTAAAGCATTATATTGATAAACAACCCCAGCAAGTTGTTTAATATTCACTTCATCTTCCCCATGAAATATTGTTAATAGCTTTTCTTTATTTCTACATTTGGGTTCTGGATTTACTTTGTCTCTTGTTTATTTCTTTTCAAATGAAGTGAGACTTTTACTGAGGCAGGATTCTGAGGAAGGGCTAGGCATGAGGATAGCTTTCAGTCCTTGTAGTTGGCCTCATGTTAGCATATGCACCTTTGTATATGTGGAGTTGGAGAACATGCAGAGAAAATCTTGTTTTGCTCTTAAAACTTGTATATGAAACTTTCACAAAAATCTTCATACCCACTCAAGTCCTTGTCAGGGAGCAGAAAGCTAAATTATGAGTAGTTGATCCAAAACTTCTTAGATCTGTTCTTTCCCCAAGTTTCTAGTTAGCACAGAAAGACAAAAGAAATGTCTCAAGACTTATAACCATGAGGCACTAACTGAGGTAGGAACTATTAGAAGGGAAGTGGTCAAATGTCATTCAGTGGAAAAATGGATCAAGAAAATGTAACACACACAGTGGAATTTTTATTCATCTGTCAGGAAAAAATATATTACATCATCTGTAGGGAAAATGGATGGGCTTGAAGAAAACATTGTTAAGTAAAGTAAGTCAGGCTCAGAGAGACAAAGGCCACATGTTTTTTCTCATGTGGAAGTGTCATAAGCATATATGCTCATATATATCAACTAAAGTATGGTGTACCTAGGGGAAGATTGCAGTGGTATAACTCCTTTGAATAACTAACTTATACCTTAACAAAATGAATCCCAAGAAGCTAGAATTTGTGGCATCAGGTAGGGTATCAAGGAGAAGAAGGTAGAGAAATGGAGAAAGAAAGGGTGGGTGAATGCAGTCATAATATTCAATGTGTATATCTATCTATCTATCTAATAAAATGGAACTGGGAAATTTGAGAGATTGATCAAGATGTAATATACTCATAAACTGACATGTTAAAATGAAACCTCCCTGTATAACTACTTAATGATAATAAAAAATAAAATTGAAAATATTTTTAGAAAGGAGCTGAAGGTAGAGGGTATGAATTGACACCAATTCTTAATTTCTGCCTATGAGTGAAACTTTTATTGAACACCTGTTTTTTACATGCTAATGATACAAAGGTAAACAAAACAGTGTTACTTTAGATGTGATATGTGCCTCAGAGAAAAACAAAGTATGGGTTTGGGGGATGAATGCAGTGGTAGGAAATGCTAGTTCAGCTAGAGCCCAGGCTGATTTTTGTATTCAAATGGTGTGTTAAGGAAGAACTAACCCCTATCTGACCCTTGGCCAGCATTGAGCTGGGGAAAGAAGGGCAAGTATAAATCCCTAGGCCTAAACTTGCAGGCTGTGTGAGGAAGCTTAAGTGGCTCTGAAAGGTCCCAGGAAATCTGATGGGTGACAGGCACCGTTCCTCTCCTTATTCTCATTTTTATTGCAAGACAGTTGCTTCAGTTTCAACAGTTTGACAGATACTTTAAGGAGAATACTGGATTACCTCTCACCACCATTATTTTCCCTATAGGTCTTATTAAAAGACAGGTTACGTAGGTTTACTGACAAGGCTAAGCAAGGTCTCTGTCTGCTCATTAGAAAATGCGTGGTTCCCCTGGCTACTCCTGCCATGGTGTCTGCTTATTTCTTAAATAGGCTTTTCACTGAAATGGAGTGACACTTTAGATTATGAAATTTCAGACTTTTGATGTGGTAGTCCCATTTGCTCTTTCAAAAAAAAAAAAAAGGAACCAGACTTGAGTTGAAAAGCAAGGTAAATAATTTTGAGTTTCTGGTCAGTTTTGAGGTGATTTTCAGGTAAGTACTAATGAGAATTGTTGCCAGTTTCATCTTGCCTGCTAAAGCACCCTTAACTCATTTTAAACCTTGATTAATCATTAAGTAAATACATAACCTCTTTCTGGAACCTTCCCATCAAGAGGATTTGGTGAAACTTCTATTTCAATGTGTAAGAACAGTGAAAGGCTGGTCTTTCAGGGTGCATATTGGCTGAGGAATGGAGGCCGTCAAGTATGTTTTAGTAGTGAGGCAGTCCCCCTTTCTTACCTTCATGATCTGGGCCTTAAGAAGATCTGTGGATCCTGGGGAGAGAATGAGAACCTCTGAGGAGTCAGGGAAAGGGAGCTTGTGCAGCCTTGCCCTCTCCATGGTCACACAGTTGCCTCTTTATCTTCTCACTGGAAGTGGAGTGTAGCAGATTTGATAGTGTCTGCAGACATTTTTGGTTGTCATATCTGGGAGCAAGGATGCTACTGGCATCTAGTGGTAGAGCCAGGGATGCTACTAAAATTTCTACTACTCTACTACATTAATCTCTGCTACTATACACAGCACAGCACCCCACAGCTCACCATACAATCTGTTGAAAATGTTGCTGTTGGTAAATCCCTTAGAACATGGTATCATGCTACCAGAGAACAGTCTACTGTCTACAATTTTTATACTTCAAAACCACAGCGGTAGATACTCTTGTACTCTTTCTGGAGTCACCAATCTGTACTGTAAGCTACATTGTACTCTTGTGTCTCATGAAAGAAAGCACCCAACAGTTGCTCTTGGGTGTTTTATTCGAGGCCGTTCATTGCCTCAAGGAAGAACTTACACTGGACAGAAGACTTATAGGAAAATACTTTCTATGATATGTCCACAGAAATTTATTGTAATGTCATTATAGCCAGAAGGATTCACCTAAATGTCTAATTGAAATGTGTTGAGCAGATTAACCCATATTCTTTTGTTGTAATCTCAGTAGAAACTAGACTGTCTAAGAGAAAGAATATTCTATCACTTGTACATTCATCCTGGCACAACTTAAAGGAGCCACTGTAGTCCACCACTGTTTGTTATCTTGACTTCTGTTTTAAACTAGATTAAGTGTTGTGTGATTAACCCAGTTTTAACAATGACAGCATTACTACTTAGGACTGTAGAAGAATAGCTCTGAGTCTGGCTTGAGTTGGGTCACAGCATGTTGCCGCACACCCACTGCTTATACTTTTCTTGACATGAATATTTCTTCAATGAATGGGCTTTAAGGCCAAAAGAAACGTATTCATCTTCATTGCTGGATTTATAGGGATTTTTTTTTCATGCCAGAAGCATAGATGCAAGAGTTAGTTCTGTGTTAGCCATTTAATTCTGAACATGATTTTCATTTTCTGAGGCAAAATAAGCAGAATTGTCTGTGTAACAAGCAGTGATTACATTTGTTACTGTCAAGCTTTGTGATCAGACAGTGGTATTGTATTACCCTTTAACACAGAGAACTGCATTCACGTGAGAAGGCTACATTCAAGCAAAGTGGGAAAATATTCTCAGCCTTGCAGCTGGATTTTAGGGGAAGATTTATTCTCTTATTCTTCCATCTCTTTGGAACTTGCTTCTAGTTTTTGTTCTTTAGAACAGCTTTTAAGCTTTCTTGGGAGGAAGAAGAATGTGGTGGTTGATAGACGAATGTCAATTTCCTCCTGGATCTCTTTCTCATTATTAGCATGTTTTAAGTCCAAACTAAAATTAAGTTCCAGGTTTGTTGTGTAAAACAATTTTTGGCCCTAAAGTTTTAGGTTAGTTTAAATGTTACACACAGTTTTACAGTTTAAAGATACATGTTTTGAAAGCAAACATTTTTCTGAAAATTTGGCCTTTCCAGGCAAGTGTTTCTCACACACAAAGTATCTTACTTTGCAATAATCTTATTTGGGGCAAACTACAGTTACTTTTTTTCTTTTACAAAGGGACTCCAACATACTAATTTTTTCCTGTTGAGATAAATGCTGTTAGTGAGTTCTTTGGCCATTCAAGCATAGGGTAGGTTCAGAAGCCATTATTGAAGTCAAATGAAAAACATTTCAGTGAATATGGGAAAACATTCCATAATTTTTGGCAGCACATTGAATAATATTTTCTATTGACCTGTGACTCTTTGTGGTAAGTACTTTTCTGACAGGTAAACATGTTTTATGATACTGTGTGCAAGTTTTTAACTTGGTGTTTGAGACTCAAAGACCAATTTTTTTCATCCCAGGCAAGTTTTTTAGATTCTAGCATGAAAGGAAATCAAAGACAATGAACAATTAAAAGTATAATGTGAGTCTGGGTGCCCCTGGCTCATGCCTGTAATCCTAGCTACTCAGAAGTGTGAGATGAGAGGATTTGAAGCCAGCCTAGGCAGGCAAATTGCAGAGACTCTTATTTCCAATTAACCAGAAAAAAGCCAGAAGTGAGGTATAGATATTTCAAGTGGTAGAGTTCCAGCTGTAAAAGAAGAGGCATAGTCAGAGCTTAAGGTCTTGCATTCAAGCCTCAGTACCAGCACACACACACAAATGTGTAAGATGGGTTATGCAAGTTCCATTAAGCTGACATGAGATTCTAACCTAGGCTTTAAGAAAAATACTTTCACAAGACTCTGCAAAACTTGGCATGACTCAGAAGTCAAGATATCTTATAAATATGTTAGAAACAATAGCAAGAAAGAAAAAAACACTTGTGTCCTTATCTTGGGGTTCATTTTGCCTAACATCATCTTATCTAACCTTTTCAGCTTGTCTCAGACATATACTAGTTATTGCAAATAAGGGAAACCATGGGACCTATGTTTCTTTGGGCCTGGCTCTTTGTATGTCCCTCCCCCATGATATCACCCCTGTTTTCGCTGTATTTGATGTTGGTATAATTTGGGGAGGGGAAGGGAAAAAAACAAATTGTTTAAATAGGAATACAGGTGGACCCATTGCAACAATGAGATGTACAAAATGCTATGTTGAAAAATGAACTTTACAACTTTGGTGGAGCTGGGGGGTATAGTCGTGGAGATGGGAGGGCAGGGATGGTAGGGGGAAAACAAAGGAGGAGACAACAATGCTTGATAAGAAATGTACTTATTACTTTGCTCATGTAATTGTAACCCTTCTGTATGGTATTTTTAAAATAAAAAACTTATTAAATAAAATTTTTAAAAAATATCATATGTTAGCTAGGTACCAGTGGCTCACACGGTGTAATCCTAGCTACCCAGGAGATTGAGGACTGAGGATTACAGTTTGAAGCCAGAAAAGTCCCTGTGAGACTCTCATATCTATCAACCATTCAAACCCTGGAAGTGGCTCAGTCAAAGTGGTAGAGCAATATCCTTGAGCAAAAGAGCTCAGGAACAGTGCCCAGGCTCTGAGTTCAAGTCCCATGACTGATTTAAAAAAAAAAGCATAGTAAAACAGAACTAGTTACAAGTTGGAGTGAGATTCTGATCTTTGTGAGCTACGTCACCTACAGATATTTATGAATATTAGTAGTCAATATTTTGGGATATTCCTTCACCTCATTATGTGCCAGATCATGGTGATGGATGTTCATTCCCAGCATTGTGTTCTGATTGGCTGGTGCCACAGTAGATTTACCTATACATAATCAAAGTCTGAGGTCAGGCCTCTTCACTTTCCCAGGGATATGAAGATCCCAAGAAAATGTTCACTTGGTCATTTGTTTTGTAAAACTTTCTCCAAATAAAATGCTTTCTGCCTGACAGAAAATGAGTACCCAATAAATACATGGTTGTAAAAGAATATGCATACCTGCACACCTATACAAAGCCATCAAATAGAGGTACAAAGGGTGAACAAATGCAGCATTGATACTGGACACTATGTTGAAAATGAACTATACAATTTATGAGTGGAGACAGGAGGGAAAAACTGGGAGCGAGTTAGAAAAGGGGTGCCATTTTCCAAAAGGAAATGTGCTCTTGGAGGGGAGGGTAACAGTGGGAGGGAGATGAGAAGGGATGGGAAGGGGAAACAAAGGAGGAGGCAACAATGCTTGATAAGAAATGTACTCATTACCT